TTGAGCTATTTCATATTTCTTACACTTATCTACACGATATTATGGTTCAAGATGCTTCAATTTAACACTTTATTAAAATTACTGCATATTTTCACTGTTTTATTGTTCATGGTACCTATATTATGATTCAAAGATGAAAAAGTTTTCTGAGAATGTATATAATATACAATTATTAATTTTCTTTGTGTGAGTCTACGCTAAACTATATTATAATTTTTCTTATACCTGTTTACACGATACTACTATTAGCTTAAGCCTAAACCTATTTTAATGTAACACTTTATTGACATTATCGAAAATTGTACCGTCTTAGTGATGTAACAAAATCATGTTTCAAATTGGAACGAATATTTCGGAACGAGTGAGATTATGAAAGTAGTAAAGCACAGGTTGAAGTTAAAACATATTATGGAGTTTCTTAAACTTGATTACACAATATTGTTAACTTTTTTTGAAAATAAACATATTTTAAATTTAACAGTTTATTAAAGTTACGGCAAATTGTAAGGCATTATATTTCAAAGTACCAATATTATAGCTAAAAGTTAAATCAATTTTTCTGACAGTTAAGCAGTTATTATTCGCAATGCGATATTTTTGAAATATTTTCAGATAAGTCTAAACATTTCAAAAATTATGGTGGACTAAATTTAAAAAAATTTTACTTAAAAAGTATCGTATTCCAAACTGATATGATTATGCAAGAAAAAAATTAAACCTATTTTCAGAAATCCTCTAACATAAAATTGGTTGACGTAAAATCAATCTTTTATCAATCAAATATTCATTAAAATTTAACGAGGAACAATTTAATGGTCTCTTATTGTTATATTGTAGTCACCTTTTTTCGAACTAGCAATTAGACCTGAAATAAACAAAAGATCAACACTGCACTTAAATCACATTCCAGTCAATACCACTTATCTCCATATAGGCAATGAGTAATCAGCACTAAGAAACTATTAAACACTTTTTCTTACTATTCGAAATGCAATGCTTTTGAAAGATTTTCAGACAACGTTAGAATGTCCTAAACATTATAAAAATTAATTATGATAGGCTCAATTTAAAAATATAACACTTCAAAAATATCGCTCTTCAAACTAGCATGATTTTGACCGATAAGAAATTAAAGTGGTTTTCCGAACCCCTCTAACGTAAAATTGACGGATGTAAAAGCAATCTTTAATCAATCAAATATTCATTTCAAAATTTAAGGAAAGAAGACAATTTAATGGCCTCTTAATGTTATTTTGTAATCACCTTTTTTCGAACTAACAATTAGACCTGAAACAAACAAAAGATCAACATTGCATTTAAATCACATTCCAGTCAATACCACTTATCTCCATATAGGCCAATGAGTAATCGGCACTTAGAAACTATTAAACACTTTTTGTTTCTCTCCGAATTATGGATTTTCCATTCGAAACAAAGTGCTCAACTGAAGTGGTCCACAGTAGTTAATCGATCCTGGTTCATTGAGCACCCCCCTTTCCTTTAACATATCTAAACAGTATTAGTAATTTGAGGGGATGACCTTTGGATAGATGTGCATATGAACACGGGAGACTTTTTGTATATCGCATTTCACGCGATGAAAAATTGTACAAGTAAATAGAAAATAAACACGCGAAACTCGAATTAATGTGCTTCGTGTTTTGCCTATAAGCACTCGTGAGGCAAGTGAAAGCATTCAGATTCCATGTTTGGGAAGACTTCTGGATAAGTAATTTTACCCCCACCTCTTAAATAGTTCTCTGGTTTGAATGTTAAAGGGTATGTCGTTAAGATTGCCCTATAAATGTCAAAACGGCAATGTTATGCAATATTTCTTAAAAAATATATAAATATATTTTAATTAAAAACAAGCAAATTAACTATTTTATTATTGAAATATTTTTATTGGACTGCTGTAGTGGCTTTTACTTATCGGGGAAGGGACAATAATATGAGATACTTAATGATGCTTATTATTATCATATCTATTATAATAATGGATAATTTAAAATATAATAAGAATATTATATAAATTCTAATAATATAATGAAATTTGTATAATAATAACAGCAGAAATATGCGCTGCAAATGGAAAAAACATGCAAGCATTGATTAAAAGGGAAATCTGCAATACATATCCTGTATTGTTCGTTACAAACCAGACCAACACTGCCAGAGAATGTAATTCACATTACATAAATTGTAATTTGATAGTTGTTTTAGCGACGAGAAAAGATAATTGTTCTTTTTTTAATGTCTTTTCAAGTTTTATAAGATTTTATTTTACTTTTTAAATTCATAATGATAGTATGCTAATCTTTATATTTTATAAAAATTTGCATTTTCATAAGACAGAAAACTGACGGAATTTTTAATTCGGCTCTGATCAATTCCGTCTGAGAGAGTCCCACTATTCTTTCAAAAACCTTTCCATCTTGGAAATATTTAGCTCTTAACAACTTGATGAAATAGTTAGCTACTTTGTCCGTTGTTTTCAGCTCAATCCGTGTTTAGAGAAATATATTTTTGACGTATTTGCACCTAAAGATTTTATTGAGGTTTTCAAGGCTATTCAGCTAGAAATTTTGATGATGATCATATTACTTGGACACATTATGCCCAAATTGTGATGTTTGCATTGTTTTTAATGGAGAACATTTCAGTAGTTTGAATTGTATGTAACTTGGTCGAGTGGAAATATATGCGCCATCTAGTTAAGAAATTTAGCATGTAATACATGTGGCTAAAGATAAAAATAAAAAAAGCAAAATAAAAAAAAATATAAATAATAATATAATAATGATCTTTCATACTATTTTTTCAAGTATGCCAAAAACAAAATATGTACAATGCGCAAAAAATGGACCACCCTGAAAATAATTAATAATCTAATGATCGGATCTTCAAACTTTGAACCGCTCTCCTGACAAAACTATTGTGACTATGTCTCCCAGATTGCTATATTATATTTTGGGGGTCAGAAATTCGAATCGTTCAAAATAAGGTATGTTTATTCAGAGGAAGTATGTTTGTGCGTCTGATTCCGTAACTTAAATTATCATCTGCACCAACTTATTAGTATATTTGAGATCCCCCTCTTGAACCATTAAGATTGAGTCCCAGAACGTTAAGATCTGATCATTAGATCAAAAGTTATTCAGAGTGGTTCGCTTTTTCTTTTGGGCACTGTGCATTCTTGGTAGTTTTGAAACTTTAAATGCACACGGATGGTTATTGCAAACTGTTTTTCTTTATGTGACTCGAGTTTTACATTGTTCAAAACATAATCAATAGAGGTAAAGTGCTTATCATATGATAGTTTTCTTATATGCGCCACCCCTATTGTAGCCGAAGGAAATGGTGGATAATTCTTTATCGTCTGGTGTTGTGAATTTAGATGATGTTTGAAAAAAATTTATCTTTGTTGAGTTCTTAAATTTGTTACTAAAGTGAATCATCAAGTCATCAATTTCATCATATATTCGAACCAAATTCGAGTGAATGTTTTAAATTTTCTTCTTTTTTCTCTTTCTCTTTTTTTTTTTTTTTTTTTTTTTTTTNTTTTTTTTTTTTTTTTTTTTTTTTTTTTTTTTTTTTTTTTTTTTTTTTTTTTTTTTTTGCTTCATATAAATTGCCTATAAATACGTATGATCTCCAACATTATAACATTTAGAATTTACGTGATTAATATTTTTTGGTACTATCCAATATTAGGATTTTTTTCTAGATTTTATAGATTTGCTAATATATAATATATTTATTTTTTGAGATAACTCAGCGGTGGGTTTCAGTTTCATAAATTTTGCCGATCTCCAATGATTTACTTCTTCTGTTGGTTGTAAGTCATTAAGTTCATCATATTTTTCAATCAAATGTGAGGGCATGAGTGCTGTGTTTTATATATTCTTTTTTCCGAGAATTATCTGTAAATAACTATGATCCAAGATTATAACATTTAGAGTTTATATAATTAATAGATTTTGTTACTAAATTGCCGCTAAGACATATTAGAACTCCTTTTCTTGATTTGACAGATAGAACTACGAAAATTTTATGTTTTGCAAATGTGGCCGATCCCTAAGTATTTATACCTTCTATATATTCATATAATATATTTTATAATAACAATTAGCATCAAAATTACTGTCATGTTCTAATCTTCATTTTAAAAAAAGTGTCTTATATTATAAATCCTACCCTTTCAAACTAATTAATATATTATTCTATAATCATTGTTGAACAGCAGACCCAATTTTGGGCTTACGACTACTTGTGTTTTTAACGCCTAAGTCTTGTAATTTTGAACCAAATCCAGAAGACAAGGGAACTCTTGGATCAAGTATTGGGAGAAACATGCTTTTCTGTTGGACCTTTTGATGGAACTAACCCGCATTTAGAGGAAACCACATGGAGAGGAAAACCGCGAAAACCTCAAAAGGTTTGTCTGACGACAAGAGGACTCTAACACATAATTCGTCTACCACTGAGGATATTTTACGTAAGCACCGTGGTCGGTGCAATCCCGGTGCGGAATTCGTATCGACCAGCCATCGCTGGGATTTGAACCCGATTCACCTCAATGAAAGGCTGACGCTCTATCCCCTGAGTCACTACAGCTCTAATCAATTAATATTTTATGAGAATTACTTATGAAAAAACTTCATTGGCTTAAATATGCAGATGGAAATAAATGCCGACAAGTTTCGAGCGATTAAAAATGAGCGCCCATTCTCACGACTAGCCAGACGTGAATGAGAAGAAAGGAAAAATATTTCGTTTCTTCTTATTGGCGTCAAGAAAGTCTTGAGAATGGGTGCCCATTTTTTAGAACTTGAATCATGATGACTTTTATTTACATCTGCATATTTCTGAAGCCAAAGAATGTTTTTAATCTGTGATATATTTTACAGCTTTCGTTTCTTGGTATTATTTATTAATATATATATGACCAAATTTTTTTCTTCTCTGGACTTGCGTCTCATTTTAAAAATCTTTTACAGCTTTTGCACACATGGGTCTTGATCCTTGCCTAACAGGAGCCGAACCTGGATTCCTCGCAAGCCATGAACTCACTCGTAGCACTGATGAGAGGGACGAAATGGACGAAGAGGATGATCTTGAAGATGAAGAAGATGAAATAGTTGATGACGATAGTGCTCTCGAGGACCTTCCGGTTGTGTCAAGCCCTGGTGCGGGGATGCCTACGGGTGCCACCGGTGGGGTTTCCGTCATCACTCGGCACCGAAGAGGGGATGATTCCGATTCAGATGAAGTCACTTCATCGCAACAGCCATCAACAAGTATTTTGAACTGCAGTACTAATAATAACAATAACACTAGTGGGTGTAATAACAATAATACACCAACGAGTTCCACGTCTGGAGACGCTGGAAATCCTCCTTTGAAAAAAAGAAAAAGAAGAGTTTTATTTTCAAAAGCCCAAACATATGAACTAGAAAGAAGGTGAGAATAAAGTTAGATTTAAATCATGTTTAAAGTTCTTGAAATCTTTCCTTATGTTACTTGAGTGTGAAATTAAAATCATTAATAAGTGATTAATCGTTGTTTTATCTTTTAATTATCATTTGTCTCGTTTTTATGCTGAAAGTGAAAATAACAGTTTTAAAAGTCTTTAAACATTTTAATCTCGTTTCTCATTACTAGATTAATAAAATAAATCTGGTAATCAAAAGAAGTTGTAAAATTACCAATTAATTTATGATTTATTATGTCTAGCTGACCATTTTTTTTAAGTATTAAAAACAGAAACTAAGACTATTTGGTACAAAAGGAAAATAGTTATTTTGAAATATTTGTAAAAATGGACAAATTAATTTAATGGACAAAAATGATCTTTCAAGGGATTTTTTCCTCCAAGGAAAAATCTACAAAAAATCTATTCAAACTGACTGATAGTACTAATGTTTACCATTATTATTATTGTAAATAAAAAATAGGCACATAATCAGCAAACATAAAAACAATTAAAATTTTATATTCGTAGCCACATTTAAATAATCACGAAAATAAGTTTCGAGTTCCCATACATTACTGCTCATTAATTTCCATACATCTTCATATTTTTATTTTTTTGAATCAACTCGGATTTTTTTCTGCATCAAATATAATTAGATAACTAAAAAATATTCTAACCTCGTCTGAAGAATCTGCCAATTTTTTTTGTTGTTTCAAGCAACGAGTCATTTATAGATTTTTTCTTTTTTTTTTTTCTTCTTTTTTTTGCTCTTTAAAAAACGTTGTAATTTTTGAAAATATAATTTAATAACGATTCACTAGCAATTATATTATAGTTTATTTGCATTTAGTCATGCTAATCAATGTAAAGTCAGTTTTAGGTAAATGATGCATCATTATTTATTACATAATGCTTCAGAACTCTTTCAATTGAAAAATTATTTTTTTTTAAAAATGTAGAAAATATTAAATTTTTTATTTGTCTTATAAATAATCTTAGTCTTAAAAATATGAGATAAAATTTGGTAAAACTTGATAATTTTATCATGATACCTTAATGCTGGGCAAAAAAGCATTTATTCGATTAAATCTACTTCTTAGTTTTGTATTTTTTTACTAAGCGTTTTGTAAAAAGAACTAAAGTGTTGTAAACCAGAATTTCCGTTAAACGGTAAACATAAGAATGGAAAAATTTACCAAATGAATAGCTCAAAAACCGTGTATTTTGGTTTTATTAAACAAAATTGCGTTTTTTTTCTTTTTCCTTTTTTTTTCTTGTTGCCAGAAATGTAATTACTACATATTACTGTAATTTTTTGAAGAATTTTGTCTCCGTGTGCAATAAAACCAGCGTAAGTTTAAAACTTGCTTTAGAACTAAAGATCAACAGTTAGAGAGACACGAGTTACTTCTTATAATATGGAATTTTTCTATATTTTCTATATAATACCAAGCAAACTATTTATAAATGTGGTTCAATTCTTCTAGCATGAATTTTAATTTTTACTTAGCAAATATCATATGGTTCTTCAAAACTGACATAATATGAATTTCAATCAATTTCAATTTTCTATATAAACTTAATATTAAAATTAGCAATTAAAAAAAACAAATATTAGGCACATTTTGTTAATAAATAATGTCTTAATATATAATTGCTGATGAACGTATGTAACCAGAAACATGACTTTAACATCTAACAATTTTAAGTTCATTTAGTTGTATTTTTTTGAACCATTTTAAGTAAATTTTTATAAGAAATAGTTTCTCCGTATGGTCAAACTCACGAGGAGTTTAATTTAAATTTTTATACTATTTTATCAATTTAGTTAAATTCTTATTCAAACAATAGCGTTAATGATAAACATGGAGAAATAACATGGAGGCAAAACTAAAGTAAAATAATTAAAATTAAGTGGAAGTAGCAGTTATAGTCACATGATGATAACTATAATAGCATATTACAATCTCTAACAGTAATCGCATTTATTGTTTAAAAAAATTCATTATAAAAATTAAAAAGAAACCTTAATAAAACAAAAATATACGGTATTTAAACCATTCATTTGGTAATTTATCAGTTCATGTGATAACAGCTGACTGGTTTTCAAAATTTTACTTCTTATTACCACACATTTAGTAAAAAAATATCATGCAAAACTACAAAGTAAACTTAAACGAATAAATGATTTTCAAGTCCAGCTCTAAGGTATCATGATAAGATTAACAAATTTTCCCCTCATTTACCAAATTTGATCACCCATTATAAAACCATATTTAATTTTTAAATTTACGATATCACATAGGTAATACTCATCGAGCTTTTTGGTTTTCCCATAGAGCCAGAAACACTATAAATTTTACCATATTCCGGTAGTTTTGACCATACTTTTTTTTCAATTAATCCTCATCGATTGTCCAAAAGAACAACATTAGCGGAAATCAATATTTTTAAAAAAAGGATGACTTTAAATTTATTTACTTTTAATTAACTATATTTCCAAAAAAAAATCTTATAAAGTTTATGACGAGGATAATAATTTTCACGGCATCATATTAATTGTTTTGATTATGCTATCTGAATTCAATTTCTATAATATAAGTAGGGTTGTCTTCCATTATTCAATTACTGAAAAATAAAATCGTATGGAATCTGCACTGCATTGTATCTATTATTAAATGTAGTATTTTATTAAATATAGTACTTTATGAAATATAGCATTTAGTAAACATAGTATTTTATTAAATTTCTTACTTTAATAATAAAACAAATACTAAAAAAAATTGTCAATTAACGAACAGTTTTAGTCTGAATTATTGTTTTCTCAATTTATTTTTTTAAGAACTGCAGTTTAGAAAATTGCTTTTATTCTGTAAGAAAATTGATTCATGAAAAAAATTTTCTAATTGCAATAATTTATTACTTACAAGTTCTATTAAAAATTAAAAGATTAAAATTTAATTTTTGGAATGAAAGATGTTGTAAATGGGTTGAAAATAAAATGGATGTTGTAAATGACGGTTGTGCTTGATTCCTCCCACTAGAGAAGGCGTATGACATATGATAAACCGTGATATACAAACAGTTATTGAAAAACAATTTGATTATAAAAGTACTGATTTGCTTAAAAGTACTGATTGAATCTTTTAATAAATAAGAATTACCAGAAAGGAAATAAATAATGAGAAAATGTGAACTGAAAATGCAAATATTTGGCAGAAAGTATGTACTGTCTTAGCTGAATAACTGCTCTTCATACTTGGCGAAAAAAATATATAAGAAATGAATATATCAGCACTGAACAGCTCTATGAGATCATGAACAATATTTAGTTTTTATTAGCCCCTTAGCGATCGGTTAATTTTCAAGAAAACGGTCATAAGAGTGTCTATTTCGCCAATTATACATATTTGATTAGTGCTGAAATCTAGTTTAAAGTAAGCTAACTATCAACAATTACCTTAAAAATATCCTGGTACTCCCATCTGATGTGTAAAATAAAAAATAAAATGTTTTCCGGGCGAAAAAAATAAATAATTAGTTTTATTCTTATTGGCGCGTTACTACTGAACTCTTCATCTCGAAAATTTCACGGGAGCGAGAAATAGAGGGCTAAACCTCACCCCGTTATTTTTACGGGAGAGAGAAGGAAGGGATTGATGGCTAGTTAGAAGCCAAGGAAATCTCCTGAATGATTCAGTTGAAAGTTTTGAACAATATTTAAGGATCTGGTGAAGAAATTGCTTCGTTTACCCACTGTACAATTTAAGGACACTAGCTTAAACGGTTTTGGAATGGGATACCTGCAGTGGCGTAGTATGGTTATCTCGATCCTGATAGGTTGTTGAAACGTGGCATTTGTTTACGTTTACAACTGTTCTTTCCATTTTATTTCGTGTAAACCAAGCCCGTCAAGCATCAATTCTCTTAAATGATACATTCTTACACAAAGATTCCTTCACAAAGATATCAATTATTTTACTACATATTATTTAATTATAAGACCGGTGACTGAAGACCGGTGGCTATCAAGTTTTACTCCCGGTGGCTGAGTGGTAGCGCTTCGCGCTCCCGTGCAACAGGTCCTGGATTCGATCCTCGGGCCAGGCGAGGTTGACTCAGCCTTTCATCCCTTCAGTGGGTCGACAAATGAGTACCAAGCATGCTTAGGAACTAAACACTGGGAGATTTGCGTTCGACTGACCACCTAACCGGAACATCTGCTTCTGCACCCCAGAGCCCAAGGTCAAGAAAACTGAGATGGGTACAGTAGGCTGTGGCCCTCTATGGGCAGTCACGCCACTGAGTTTAGTTTTAATACTAAGACAAACATGAAGCTATGTAAAACTAAAGCAAATTAATTATGCATCGAAATTGCCAGGCACACAAAACAAAAATACATCGTGGTTGCAATAAACAAATAATAAATCCAAGTTAAGTTAAAGACGTGGAAGAAAAAGAATGATATTTGTGATACGGCTCTGTATGTAATCAATTTCACATTAATTTGCATTTTAACTTATGAGGAGAAACTCTACACGCTATTTTGCTTTTAAGCGATTAACCGGGACTGACGTCATAGTTAACATGCGTGGGTATATATGGTCTTCTTCTTCTTCTTGAAGTGCAAGTACCCAATTATAACAAAGATACGCAAATGCTTTATTTTATTATTATAAATAGTTTGTTTTATTATACATAATTTGCTTTATTATACATAATTTGTTTTATTATACATAATTTGTTTTATTATACATAATTTGTTTTATTATACATAATTCATTTTATTATACATAATTTGCTTTATTATACATAATTTGTTTTATTATACATTTTATTTTTATGCATGATTGTTTATGTACTTTTCAGGTTTCGACAACAGAGGTACCTGTCAGCCCCAGAAAGAGAGCACTTGGCAAGTATAATCCGGTTAACGCCTACGCAAGTAAAAATCTGGTTTCAGAACCACAGATACAAAACTAAGCGAGCCAGACAGGAAAAAGGTCTGGATGTGAACCCGTTACCTTCACCGCGGAGAGTAGCTGTTCCCGTTTTAGTTCGCGATGGCAAACCATGCCAACCAGCAAGTTCTGCTCTGAACAAGCAACAAGCTGAGGGTGGACAACGCAACTCAAATCTGCCGTCAGATTTGTCTTCGATTACTTCAATGACAAACATGGCGGCCATCACCAATTCCTGCATTGGCACTTTTAGTATGTTACCTACTTATTCACATCCTTTAATACATCAGCACCGATGGTGGTGATGCTTAGAGAAAACAAAAAGACTATTTAAATCTATTTATCTATTAGACTCAGATCTAATGTAACAGAGACAATTTGCATTGAACTATTCAGACGTTTTGTTATGTGATCCCATGACAATTCATTTAAGTGAACTGTTTTCTTTAGGGAAGCGAAATTTATTTATTGATACCGTTTTATTTTCCCTAAATTAAATTGGCAAGTAAATTGCCTTGATCAAGGAAAAAAGTTTTTGGGTCAAATGCAAAAGTTCTTAATGTCTTTAAAATGTTGAATTATGTTATCTAGATATTTTATACCAAGTGTTAATTTAAACTTAATTTGGAGTTCCTGTATCTAATGTAGTTAGAGAGTAACAACAAGGAATATTAAAACTGTCCAGATAAAGGTTATCTGGATTTGGTTACCACACTTGACGGAGTTTCTTGTTAATTTCTCTTTTTATTTCGCATCAGAATTACGTTAACTGTATTGAGCTATGTTTTTTTTAATAAGATTTTTTAAGTAGTCTAAGACAAAGTTGAGTAAATAATTGATGAACTGATAAATTATTTAATTATATAAACAAAACTTTATGTTTAGCTCGTTTACAAGATTTTTTTATTGGAAATAACCTGACAAGAAAAGTAATTTTTAATCAGAAAATTAACAGTTTACTTGGCATATAGCAGTATTAATAACTAGATAGATGTGCCAAGTGCTAATATCAAAGATTTTAAAGCTAACCATTTCCAAAAATATGAATTTATTTATTTCACTTATTTTTTTTATTTTGCGTATAATAGGTGCTATAATTTTGAGATGACTCCTTATTAATGACTCCCTTATTAAATTTACAAGGTTTTGCTTCTTTTCTTTTCAGAAAATTTTGGCTCTCAGCCAATCACGGAGAGTTACTCGTGTGTCGTAAGACTTTAACTGCATTAAATATAAGGGCTCTAGTTTGATTGGTTCCAGTTCTAAAACTATCTGTTATAGAACAATTAGTTAACAATTGGCCTTAAACTGAACTTATAAAAAATTATTTTAAGTTACATTCAATGAACATTTATTATGGCTAAATACATCTCTCTAATGCACAATGATCAAAAATAAATAATTTTTGTCTTTAATAAGGTCTTAAGAGATTACTGATATTAAATTTATTTCAGTCAACTTTTTGAGCTGTTGTATCTGAAGCATTCATGTTTTAAATATTTTATTTCTTAATCCGGTTCGTTTATTAAATTTTAAGCAGAATATCAAGAATGAACTCATATTAAATGTTTGATCAAATAGGGTAAAAATAAATATAACTATTAATACGCGATCATTTACAAAATAATTTTAAAATATCAATTAATTTGAAAAGGCTAACATGATTGATACGACATACATCCGAACGCTCAAAAATAGTGTTTTGCAGCCATGTGTTACAGTTTTATAAAAATTTCAAAAATGTGAAATTTTGATAGCTGAACTAAAATATTGAGTGCTTTTTTAATAACTTAACCAATTAGTACTAAAACATGGTCACAAAGTGTTCTAATATTAAACTGTCAAACTCAGTTTTATTCTTAGCTAAAAGAAGAGTAAAAAAGTGAGAAAATATTGCTTTATCATGGGTTTTTTAAAGTGTTAAAAATAATTAATAAAAATCTCAGTAAATTAAACACCACGTTGATGACATTAATTTTCTCCGAAATGTTCCCTGGATATAACTCCTCGCCTTCTTTTAAATTTGATTTTTAAATCTAAATAAAATCAAAACCTTACGACGATATTTTAAAGTTAATGGTATGCAGTACATATAAAAGAATTGAATTTCAATTTTTTAGAGTAATATCATTTAAAATATAAAAATTAATATAATTTAAAATATAAAAATTACTTAAACTAAATTCAGGTATCAGGACAGACAATTTTGCAAAAAAAATTCAATAATTAATTCTTTTATAGAAAATAATAAATACAGTAAATACGAGTGAGCAAATTTCATTACATTTCAGATGCTAATAAAAATAATTTGTTGTATGTGAATAAATAACCTCTAAGACATAGAACTGAAATTACAAAGTTTAATATAACGATAAAATAGTTCTTCAACTTAAATTCGAATCATAAAACAAATCAGTAAGTATTAGTCAAATAAGGAAAATGATTCAATCTGTAAAAATCTGAAACCTATTTTTGAAAGCTATCAGCTTTATTTTAAAATTCTTGCACGGAGAAAAAAATTCTTGTTGAATTACAGCACAGTATGGTAATGACATTTCTAATAAAAATAAAACTTAAAAAAAAACTATTCAGGAAATAAAACCAAAATATACGGTATTTAAACCATTCATTTGATAATTTTTCCTTTCTTATGATAACAGTTTACCGGAAATTATGGTTTCAAAAATTATAGTTCTTATTGATAAACATTTAGTAAAAAAATACAAAACTAAAAGGTAAATTTAATCGAACAAATGCTTTTTATTCCCTGTTCTAATGTACCATGATGCAACTACCAAGTTTTTAAAAATTTTCTCACATATTATAAAACAATATTTTATTGTTAATTTTACCAAATTCGTAACCAAAGCCAATTGAAAAAAATTACGGTAATTTTTGGTGTTCCCATAGATCCTGAAACGCAATAAATTTTACCATATTCTGATAGTTTTGACTGTACTTTTTCTCTCAATATGGTTGTTAAATAAGAAAGAAAAGAAACATTTTTAAAATTATAATGTGTACTTGTTTGATTTTTTATTAATTTGAAGCACTTTTCATTTTTAGCAATTTGTTAAAAAATTGAATGCTGCAATAGAACCCACATAAAAGCCATGAGTATAGTAAAAAATGTACTGAGTAAGGAAAAAAATAAATTTCAATTGACAATCAATACAATAAAATCTATGTTTTTCTTAGTGTTGCTTTTATCACATTTTTGGTGCACCCAATTTAAATATTTCTAATCTAACAACTAAACAATATTGACTTTTAAAAGTAATTTTTTCGTTTAAAAAGAAATTTTAAACTTAAAACTATCAAACAATTAAAAAGGAAATTTTCTCAATTAATTACTCTATTATTACAATATGAGTGCAATACTTACTTTACAATATGATTACAAATTGTAATTGAAGAACTTCGTGGAGATTTGTTGTAGAGTACTGAAATATTAGGAAATATAGTTGTGATTGAAGAAAAATTTTAGATTGTATTATAAAATTATTTATTACATATCATTTGTGTAAGTAAATGTATTGTAGATATGTGTAAAATAATAAACTGTGTTTTGTTATTTCCTCGTTTTGTTCAATTATTAAGAGCGGTTTTGTTCAATTATTATATACTGAAGCGGAGTAAAATAAATTTTAGCTTAAATTATTTTCAGAACTTTATAAATTGCATAAAACTGTATTTCAAATTTTTTAATAAGCACTAGTTTTAATAATCAGTTACAAAACAAGCTTCCTTTATATTGATATTCAATTAAATTTGTAAAAAATATTAAATTCCAGAGCATCAAGATATGCTGATGTGACATGGGACGAAATAATTGTGGAATTTTCAAGATTGAATTTATGATCAAGATTCCAACAACGTGCAGTAATAGATAGTATCTAGTATTCTTGTCAAGAGAAATCTCAGAATAAGACAGAGAATTTTTTTGGAATTGGATAACGGAAATCTTGTTTAAGTCTTGAAAATGGGCGCCTATTATTGAACGCTTGAAACACGTAGACGGTTCTTTCCGATTTATATGCTTTTAAAGCGAATGAAGTTTTTAATCAAGTAATATCTTTCAGCTTCAGTTTCTTACGATAATTTATTTATTTTATTGTAATAGTTCATAACGAATTAAAAATTGGAAATAACCTAATTTAAACACGAGTCATAATTTTCACTTGAGAAATTGAAATCATTAAATAATATGGAAAATTTATTTAACTCTTACTTAAAAACCTCTATTTTATATACTTATTTTTTTCTTGAAAGAGAAAAAATAATGTAAGACTTTAGTTACATCTAAAATTTTAAAAGCTGTAATGGTCTAAAGAAGACAAGTGAAATAGCAAAAAAGAAACATTTTCATAAAATTGTATTTACCGAAATAAATCCGAAAGTCCACTACTCAAATTCAAGAAAACTGCTCAGACGTATGTAAAAATATGCGAAATCCATTGAAAAAGATAAATAAATAAAATTTCTCTAAAAAAAAATATTGATTCTCATTTTGAAAATTAAAGTCAATGAGTAGAATTTGACAAATAATCTAATGCTGACTTTCTTTTTTTTTTCAATCTTTATGCAATTCTAATTCTAAGTTTTAAAATATTTGTCTCTTCAAAAAATTAGAGCTTTGAAGACTTTTTGACATCTTTGTTTTTTTTACCCCCCAGGAAGAAGAAATATTCGGGTAAAATTGACGTACTGTATGATATTGACCTTTCTGGTTAAAAAAAATTATAATTAGGGTTAATAAAACTAAAATATACGCTATTTAAACCATTCATTTGGTAATTTTTTTCGTTTATATGGTAACGGCATGCCGAAAATTCTGGTTTCGAAATTATTGTTCTTACTACCACACATTTAGTAAAAAATACAAAACTAAAAAATAAATTTAATCTAATAAATTATTTTTATGCCATGCTCTAAGGTATCATGATAAAATTACCAAATTGTATTACATATTATAAAATCATATTTAATTGTTAATTTTACCAAAATCATTATCAAAGCTCATTGGTAAATTCTATCGAGCTTTTTGGTGTTCACATAGAGCCAGAAACATGGCTCATTTTTGCCATATTCTGGTATTTTGGACAATACATTTTTTTTGGAAGTTTATGCTACATCTAAAGTATTTGCAAAAGCTCGTCGGTATAAAGCTCTTCAGTAAAAATTAATGAGATTTTTGGTGTTTCCACAAGTCAGAAATACGGTAAATTTTACCGTAATCTTGAAGTTTTGATCGTGTAAATTAATTCGTGTGAATTTAAAGCACTTTTATTGCTTGCCATAAAGATATCAAATTTTCCTTTAATTGAAAGATGACCACATTAAACATGTTAAATAATGACAACCGTAAGCATAATTTAGTTAACTGATAGTTTTGATAATTGGAAAGCATACGAAGCAGGTTGGAAGCACTAAGCAAACAAAATATAGGTACAACGCTACTTTAGGCGTGCAGGCAACGAGCAAGCCCTGAATTTTCAATCAAAACAATAATGTTTCAAAGCAATAAATTAAGCAGCAAAAATTCTTTATTAATGATTTATAATAGAAAAATGTATTATTTTGCTTTCCAAAAAACAATTAATCGGATCCAGTTGCTGTAACCATTGAAATTATAGTTAAATCATAAACAATATCACACTGAGAATAAAATAAGATCAAAGGTACCAGAATAAGATAGAATTTACCATGCTTTT